CTGCCTTTCAGATTCAAGTGATTCTCCTGCTTCAGTGTCCTGAGTAGCTGGGACTACAGGTGCCCAGTACCACAACTGGCTAATTTTGTATTTTTAGTACAGATGAGGTTTCACCATGTTGGCCAGGCTGGTCTTGAACTCCTGACCTCAGGTGATCTGCCTGCCTCGGCCTCCTAAAGTGCTGGAATTATAGGCATGAGCTAACATCCCTAGCCTGTGTGGATCTTTAAAACATGGATAATAGTAGCTGGGAGCAGTGACTCATGCTACAAATCCCAGATACACAGGAGGCTGAGTCAGGAGGATTGCTTGAGGCCAGGAGTTCAAGGCCAGTCTGGGCAACATAATGAGACCCCATCTCTACAAAAAATAAAAAGGATAATAATGATGAGTTTGTTAGCTAATAGGTTATACCATTTTAGCAATAATACAGCAAGTAGGCCAAGAGTAGTTTAATTTTAGCTATAGATGATTGAGTTCCACTACAGGAAGACGTTACTAGTATGTTGGTCATTTTGCCTTTAATGTATTGTGCACTCTTCTAAGATGGTCTCAGAGGCTTGCATTTCCCCTGTTGTCCATTTTTACAAGAATTTAAATAGCTTTAATGATTTAACCAGGGACAGGGCTTTTTGTGCTTTGGTGGGCAAAAAGGGCCACTGAATTAAGGATGTTCAAGAGAGGAATTATAATATGGACCACATGTCTAGGCTCAGTCAGAATGGAGGAGAGAAGGATGAGGGAAAGTAAAAACCGGTTTGATAAGTAGATTGGACATTTTTGAATTTGTATAATTGTTTGAGCTGGTGATTTCAATGAAATAAGATTGTAGTAAAAACAAAAATCCGATGTCTGAAATTCAGATTTTGGAAGAAGTGTAGTTGTTGGTAATGGCAAGATCTTGGGTATGACCAAAGGATAGGTGAGTGAGGTACAGTAGAGGAAGAGGTAATTATAGAGGACAAATAGCTAAGAGGTCTAGGTGTTGGATGGATCTTCAGATGGACACTGAAGCAGAGAATGGTGACACAGTGAGGGTGGAAGGAAAAGCTGAGCATGGCCAGCACAATATTGGCCCCCTAAAGATGCTGTAATCCTAGGAACCTGTAAATGTTACCTTACACAGCAAAAGGTACTTTGCATGTATAATTAAGTTAAAGATTTTCAGATAGGGGAGTTTATCTTGCCTTTACCTGGAAGGAGGAGAGGGAATTTCATCACAAGGATCTTAATAAGAATGAGGCAAGGGAGTGCGGTGGCCCATGCCTGTAATCCCAGCACTTTGGGAGACTAAGGTGGGTGGATTGCCTGAGGTCAGGAGTTTGAGACCAGCCTGGTTAACATGGTGAAACGCTGTCTCTACTAAAAATACAAAAATTAGCTCGGCATGGTGGCGCACATCTGTAGTCCCAGCTACTCAGGAGGCTGAGGCAGAAGAATCACTTGAACCTGAGAGGCAGAGGTTGCAGTGAGCCAAGATCATGCCACTGCATTTCAGCCTGGGTGACAGAGTGAGACGTCATCTCAAAAAAACAAAAAACAGAAAACAAAACAACAGAAAAAGAATGAGGTAATAGGGTTAGAGTTAGAGAAGGAGATGTGACCATGGAGGCAGAGGTTGAAGTGATGTGGGGTCTTGGGCCAAGGAATGTGGGCAGCCTCTAGGAGTGAGAAAGGCATAGAAATGATTCTCCTCCTCCAGAAGATAGTACCTCCAGAAAAAACACAGCCTGGCTGAAACCATTTTAGACTCCAGAACTGTAAGAGAACACCTTTATATTGTTTTAAGTCACCAAGTTTGTCATAATTTGTCTCAGCAGCAGTATAGCAGGTATTATTATAGAATCATCAGGATGGAGATGGATGGTAGCAAGGATGGCATGGGGTGGTAGGTGACATAACTAAGGAGAGTGTGACGGACCCCTGCACTGAAATGTTACTGGGGTTGTAGAAGGAGGAAGGAACTTTCCTGTTTAGTCCCAGGGGTCATGGTGGAAGACTTGAGAAGGGTGGAAGATTAGTCAGATTAGGAGAGCCATAGAACTATGGTAATAGAGATCCTGGGGAGTTTGGGTTTCTGGTTGTATCTGGATAAACAAGGGAGAGAGGTAAAAGCCCTGAGGGTCTTTTAGCTCTGAGTACTGTAGTTTTATTTACTGTAGTCCCTGTTTATCTGTGGATTTACTTTCCAAGGTTACAGTTATTTGAGGTCAACCACAGTCTAAGCATATTAAATGGAAAATTACAGAAATCAGTAATTTATACTTTTCTTTTTCTTTTTAAGAGATGGGGGTCTTGCTACATTGCTCAGGCTGGAGTGCAGGGGTATTCACAGGTGCGATCATAGCACACTACAGCCTCAAACCCTTGGCCTCAAGTCATCCTCCCACCTCAGTCCTCTCAAGTAGGGACTATAGGTGCATGGCACTGCACTTGGTAACAATTCATAAATTTTAAATTGGGTGCCATTTTGGGTAGCATAATGATATCTCAAGCTGTCCTACTATGTTTGCCTGGGACGTGAATCTTCCCTTTGTTCAGCATATTCGTGTTATAAATGCCCTCTGCCCATTAGTCACTTAGTAAGTGTCTAGGTTTTCAGATTGACTGTCACAGTACCTCAGTGCTTGTGTTCAAGTAACCCTTATTTTACTTTATGATGGCCCCAAAGCACAAGAGTAGTGAAGCTGGCACATTGTTATAATTGATCTATTTTATTAATAGTTATTATTGTTAATCTCTTACTGTCCCTAATTTATGAAAAGTTTATCATTGATATGTATGTATAGGTAAAACCATTCTGTATACAGGTTTTGGTACTACCCACAGTTTTAGGCATCCACTGGGGGTCTTGGAACATGTCCTCCTGAGGATCGGCGGGGGGAGTCTAGTAGATTTACTCAGGACATATTTATTAAACAGCCACCCTGAGGAAGCTCTGATATGGAAATGAGTGGTTTAGGGGCCAAAAGGTAAGCAAGTGTGTCCTTCTGGGAACCCCAGGAATTAGAGGTGCTCCAAGCTTCTTCTTTCTCTTCTGGAGGCAAAGCAGTGTGACAGGCTGGGCGGGTAGAGGGCAGATGAGAAGAAATGGATGTTGATGGGAATTATGTCTTGCTTGGAAGAGGTAGCTTGGGATTTCAACTTTTCTCAGGCAGTTTTATGGACCAGGGAAAAGACAAGCAACCTAAAAATGGAAGAAGAATCAGACTGGCATCAGATTTCTTATCGACAGCATAGGATGCTAAAAGTCAGTGTAGCAATACCTTCAAAACTTTCAAGGAATAGAACTGAGAACCTAGAATTGTACAACAAGCAAGAATACAAGTAGGCATGCCAGTCCTTGGCCTCTGTGGGATAATATGAAATATACCTATTTGATCTTTGTCCCTCATTCCTGTCATAGAGCTCCTGAAACACCTAGAATTTCCCGAGTAACAGGAGTATCTTTTGTTACGCTTAGTGAGCCCCTGTGATGACTCCTCAGTTTATGCTAATGAGATGAGTTAGGATAGGGCCAGTCACCGTAAAGACCAAGTGATTAGAGGACTAGAGAGTTAGAGCTTTTAGCTCTACCTACCAGTGTCTGGAAAGGGCAGAGATGGGGGTGGGAGTTGGGGAGGGTGGAGATCAAGCTCTATGAAAACTCTTGAGCAAGACTTGATGGGCTTCCTGGCTGTGGAACAAACACATGGAGGTTGCTGAACACGTGGAGGTGCTGGTGAGGGAGGATGTGGGAGCTTTGCCCCCACCCACCATACACTATGTATCTCTTCATCCGGCTGTTCATCTGCATTCCCTATAATATCCTTTATAACAGACCAGTAAACGGAAGTTAAGTGTTTCCCTGAGTTCTGTGAGTCCCTTAGCAAGTTATCAAACCCAAGGTGGGAGGGTTGTGGGAAACCCAATTTACAGCTGGTCAGTCAGAAGTATCTGTTCCGGGGAGATAGTATCATAATTGAATTGAATTATAGGACACTCAGTTGGTATTGAAAGAAAGCAAAATATTTCCTCCCCCAATATTGAGAATTGTTAAGTTAAAGGAAAACACTGCATCAGCATCTATCTGCCTCGTGGCAGGACATAGATCTTTCCTTACTGGGGACAGCACTTGTTTATCAGCTCAGAGAAAGTACCAGCAGTTACCAGAGGAATCAGGAACAGACTTTACCATCTTTCCACATTTTCTTTTCTTTTAAAAGACTAGAACTGCTCTCTTTTTTGTCTTGTCACAATGTAGGATTTATGGCTCTTTGTTAACATATGTACTATTTAAGCGAGGTCCCTAAGCCACTGCCTTGAGAGTGAAATACTTCTGGACTGAGGCTTGTTAATCAACAAGCAGAAGTTCATTAACAAGCACAGGTTAATAAACTTCTGTTTGTTTTTCTTTTGTTAAGCTGACTTTTGTTTTCAGGAGAGTGTCTCAACTAAGAACCTAAAAAGAGAATTGTTTTCTCCCCTACGATTTGGCAATCCAGCCAGGAGAAACAGAGACACTCCGTGGCAGGCCGGGTTCCCATTACCAACCAGAGTGGCCAGTTTCCAGTAACCCGTTACTATAAATCTGATGAATGCATGTTAAACATTAAAGAACTGGAGAAACTGGGGCCTGAGTATAAGGGGCGGAATGAAAAAAACAAACTCATTAAGACCCCACCGGGGTTTTCTCAGACCCTAAAATCTGATTGAACGATAACAGCATTCTTACATATACACCTCGTACCATGGCCCACTTAAGACTAAGAAACTTTCCAAAGCTCTAGAGAAAACGTTCCAGACCACAGACCCTAGTTAAAGATTAGATACAGATGGAATGAAACGCTCCTGCTCGTAGTGCACTCCCACACGTTGGCATAGAACTTAAAATGTACCTAAGTACTGGAGCAAAACCTGGAACTTTGAGTTGGCCTGGTGAGTTTCCCTGATCTTCTCCTTATAACCAGTTGCAGAAATAAACTCCCTTCTTACCCAGTCTGTCTGCATCTTGTTATTAGATCACGAGAACAAGCAGCCAAATCTCATTCCTCCAGGAACAACTCCACTCACTCTAGGACCTATGGATACACTCCTGGAAGGACTGGCAAATGCCGGCAGAAAAAGGTAAGCTTTCTTCCTTGTCCTTTTCTTTCCAGGTTCAGATTGATGCCCCCCACCCCAAATATATATTATGTATGTAATTAGTTCTTCAAATCTGTGTGACCCGTGTGGATTTGTAGGTACCTACTTGGTTATTGGGATCTTTAGTTTGCTAACTATGGTCTTTGTTTTCTAACCCTGTCTCTTTGTGTGGTTTGTCGTAAGGAGGAACATCATAATACAATTCTTCTTTGTTTCTGGAGACCTGTGGCTTTGTAACCAGCAAATTTATTCTCTAGTCTCTGCCACCCTGTGGGCATACGTTCCTGGGCTTCTGTCACGCAGCCAGCTGAGAGTCCAGCTGAGGGACCGAGATGTCTGTCCAAATGTGCTGGCTCTTGGGAATTTGTCTTAATTGCCTCAACCTGCATTGCCTTGCTAATAATGAGGGTCTTTCTTAGGCCATCTTTGGAAGAACTTCAGATCTCAAAAGAGATTGCATTTTTCCACCCTCTTTGGGGACATAATTCTTGTGTCTGGTTATAAGCCATAAAAAGCCTACTGGTTTTAAGTCACAGTTAAAGTAGGTATACCTTTGGGAATTTAGGCTTTTGTATCTAAAAGTATTTTTCTTTTTCTTTTTTGAAGAAAGCCCCCTCAGTTCCTTGGAGATGTAAATCTTACCATGTCTTTGAAATGTTAACATCCAGGGAATTAGCTAAGCAGCATTCCTTCTGAGATCTGATTTAAAACAAGAGTTAATTTAAGAAAGGAAAAGCCAAGAAACAGGAATGTTTGCTCTTTTTCCAGCTAAAATCTGATAAAAATACCTTTTAAAGAATTCTATAGTCAAAAGTTGACTTAATTAAAAGCTGACACTTAGACATCTATGCATACATATATATTCTTAAGGCCTCTTTCTCTCTCTGGAAAAGCTTCTCAGTAGACTAAATTCCTGTCTTCTTAAATCCTTGCCAACCATATGTGCTTCCTCTGTCTGTTTCTCTTCCTCCTAACATAATTTTTGCCTTAAAGACTTGTTCTTCCATTTACTTCTGTCTGTCCTTCTTTCCTCTTGCCACCCTCAATGCCACATGAGGTGACCTAAAGAAGATTTCTAAAAGCTCTGGTACCCCTTGAGAAAACAGAAAGAGCTCCACAGAATCTTCTTTTTGAGGAGAACTTCAGTTTTTCCTCATAGAATCCCAGGGTTTGTGAGTGGTCAGGTTCCTCTCAGGTCTAAAGCTCCACTGTCTTTTACATTGAACTCCTCCATCTCGTTGGCTTTTAGGTATACACGTATGTGTGATGGTTAATATTGAGTGTCAACTGGATTGGATTGAAGGATGCAAAGTATTGTTCTTGGTGTGTCTGTGAGGGTGTTGCCAAAGGAGATTAACATTTGAGTCAGTGGACTGGGAGAGGCCGACCCACTCTCCATCTGAGCGGGCACCATCTAGTCAGCTGGCAGCATGACTAGGATAAAGCAGGCAGAAGAACGTGGAAAGACTAGACTTGCTGAGTTTTCCAGCCTTCATCTTTCTCCAGTGCTGGATGCTTCCTGCCCTCGAAGATCAAAGTCCAAGTTCTTCAGCTTTTAGACTCTTGGATTTACACCAGTGGTTTGCCAGGGGCTTAGGGCCTTTGGCCAGAGACTGAAGGCTGTACTGTCAGTCCCTACTTTTGAGGTTTTAGGACTTGGACTGATCCAATACTGGATTCCTTGCTCCTCAACTTACAGACAGCCTGTCGTGGGACTTTACCTTGTGATCATGTCAGTCAACTCTCCTTAATAAACACTCCCTTTTATAAAACTGATCTCAAGTGATCTGCCCGCCTTGGCCTCCCAAAGTGCTGAGATTACAGGCGTGAGCCATCATGCCCGGCCAAACTTAAAAAATGTCTGAGCTTATTTATTTAATTGATAAGCACTCATTTATTTTAACTTAATTTGGTACCATATAGACAATATACAAATGTATGTTTAGACATATACATACATGTAGACATAAATATACATACATAATGTATATGAAGTCTCCTGTTAGTTCTGTATCTCTAGAGAACCTTGACTAATACAATGAGTATTATAAATTAAATAAATAAACCTGGATATTGTTTAAGTTTGGCCTGGTGTGGTGGCTCACACCTGTAATCCCAGCACTTCGGGAGGCCGAAGTGGGCAGATCACGAGGTTAGGAGTTTGAGACCAGTCTGGCCAACATGGTAAAACCCCGTCTCTATGAAAAATACAAAAATTAGCCAGGTGTGGTGGTGCATGCCTAGTCCCAGCTGTTTGGGAGGCTGAGACACGAGAATCACTTGAACCTGGGAGTCAGAGGTTGCAGTGAGCTGAGATTGTGCCACTGCACTCCAGCCTGGCAGGCTGGGCTAAAGAGCAAGACTCCATTTCTTAAAAAAAAAAACCCCAGCCGGGCGTGGTGGCTCAAGCCTGTAATCCCAGCACTTTGGGAGGCCGAGGCGGGTGGATCACGAGGTCAAGAGATCGAGACCATCCTGGTCAACATGGTGAAACCCCGTCT